ATCCTCTGACGACACCGGCTGATATAGCCGGTGTCACGTGGGTCACAGGTGACTTTGTTGTTATTGGTACTCGAGCTGCGCATGCGCGCGATGGACATATCCAGGGTTGCATTCCAATAGTCCATTTAGCTTAGGAACCTTCCTAACGGAGTGAATGACCCGGAAGTACGTCACTGGCAGCCATGATAAGTGCCGTTCCAATTCTCCAAATGAAAGGAAAGCTGGTTTCAAACTTCCTTATAACCTCCTTTAGCTTAGGAACCACTGGACCTCCCTAACCGAAAGGAGAGGAGAAAATGCTGCCCCACAATGCATTGCAGCCGCAGCATTTGCCATCACAACAGTCGGCCGTTCACGGAAACAACCGATTATGACCGAGAAATGATATCATGAAAGTTACGGTGCTTATTAAGCATTTTAAAACGTATGTGGTAAGTTGCCAAAGTGCTTTTTTCTGAACGTTCATCAGTATTATAATCAAAGAGAGAAATATGAACGTTAGTTTTTACTGAAATGATCAAATAAAGTCAACATCTCACAGTCTTTACTGAGCTGTGTGGGGTTTGTTCAACTTTTAAAAGATGTTTGAATGGTGATATACACACTGATAGATGTTAAGGACTAACGTTTATAATAAATACAGTATTGATTTTAAGATCTTTTAATAGTTCATACAATCATACGTATTGGGATCATTTGTATTAATGTGGACCGGAGGGAGAGGGTGACGAGCATAAGTTTCACTTTCCTTTTTTATTTCAATTCCAACTTTGGTCATGAAGAATATGTTTCTCTGTTGTCCACGTTCATAAAGCATAAAGCAACAGCATCAGAGCACGGTGCAGAGTCTCTAGATGAGTTTACAGTAGTCCCTCGTTCTTATTAAACATCCATGTTGTAGTCCGCTGTATAGAAAACTGTAGTTTCCATAGTTTCCCCACAGCAGCAGACGCACATTCATGACGTCCGCTGGCGCATCATAAACACGTCGGATAGTGAAAGTGCATTCGGATTCTCTAAAGTACCGCGGTCTCTTCTCCTAAGTCCTTTTGAATTCTCCTATCCACTATCCCTTAACCCCGTGACGTTTCACTCAGAGGTCAAGGAATAGGAGATAGGGGTTGCGTTCCGATAATCCAAAAATCAGCTCCTAAATTCTAACCCTATCTCCTATTCCTTGACCTCTGAGTGAAACGTCACGGGGTTAAGGGATAGTGGATAGGAGAATTCAAAAGGACGTAGGAGAAGAGACTGCGGTACTTTAGAGAATCCGAATGCACTTTCACTATCCGACGTGTTTATGATGTGCCAGCGGACGTCATGAATGTGCGTCTGCTGCTGTGGGGAAACTATGGAAACTACAGTTTTCTATACAGCGGACTACAACATGGATGTTTAATAAGAAGGAGGGACTACTGTAAACTCATCTAGAGACTCTGCACCGTGCTCTGATGCTGTTGCTTTATGCTTTATGAACGTGGACAACAGAGAAACATATTCTTCATGACCAAAGTTGGAATTGAAATAAAAAAGGAAAGTGAAACTTATGCTCCTCACCCTCTCCCTCCGGTCCACATTAATACAAATGATCCCAATACATATGATTGTATGAACTATGAAAATATCTTAAAATCAATACAGATGTATTTATTATAAACGTTAGTCCTTCACATCTATCACTGTGTATATCACCATTCAAACATCTTTTAAAAGTTGAACAAACCCCACAGCTCAGTAAAGACTGTGAAATGTTGACTTTATTTCATAATTTCAGTAAAAACTAACGTTCATATTTCTCTTTTTGATTATAATACTGATGAACGTTCAAAACAAAGCACTTTGGCAACTTACCACATACGTTTTAAAATGCTTAATAAGCACCGTAACTAAGCTAAAGGAGGTTATAAAGGTTATAAAGGAAGTTTGAAACCTCCTTTCCTTTCATTTGGAGAATTGGAACGGCACTTAACATGGCTGCCACTGACGTACTTCCGGGTCATTTCACTTGGTTAGGAAGGTTCCTACGCTAAATGGACTATTGGAATGCAACCCGGGTTAGAATTTAGGAGCTGATTTTTGGATTATCGGAACGCAACCCAGTGCTTAAAGCACCGCCTCTGGCGGTCAGTAGGGACGAAATAGAACTCCGGACGGCAACCCAAGATGGACACTTGACACAGTGGCTTTTAGCAAAGCTAAAAAAGAAAACTCGAGAGGGATGAGTTATTGTTATTACAACGTGACTTCACTATTATTTAACAACTCTTTTTATTGGGTTCTTTTATTTGGTGTAAGTACATTGTCAGAATAAGTGAGGAATGAATTTAACTTCTGTTAGACAGCTATCATACTGAATAAATATTTACTGTGAATGTATGCAAAAATGTATGGCATATAGCTGTCTAACAGAAGTTAAATTCATTCCTCACTTATTCTGACAATGTACTTAACCCCAAATAAAAGAACCCAATAAAAAGAGTTGTTAAATAATAGTGAAGTCACGTTGTAATAACAATAACTCATCCCTCTCGAGTTTTCTTTTTGAGCTTTGCTAAAAGCCACTGTGTCAAGTGTCCATCTTGGGTTGCCGTCCGGAGTTGTCCAATATGGCGGACCATCTCGCACATGCGCGGTACCGATCGGGCAGGGGGACGGATCGGGTAGTGACAACCTCATCCAACCACACACCCCAACCCGTCGCCTCAGGTCTGCTGAAGCTAACCTACTACAGCCCATCAGGACAAAGCTCCGGACCGGGGGACAGGGCCTTCGCCGCAGCCCCCCCTCCCTTTGGATCTGGGGCAGGGGCGGACTGGGGGGAAAAAGTGGCCCGGGGATTAATTGACAGACAGGCACACTTAATGCGCGGCATGTATCGGCCGGCCGCCGCCGAAAGTATGTTACTTTACAAAAAACCCTATGCATGTAATGTTATTTTGGACAATTCGTGACAATCGCATTACCTGAGCCCTTGAGTTGCCTAGAGCAAAAATAGATACGGCATATATTTAGTGATTTTAATGTTAACAGATCATTGATGCAATAACATTTTGACCCAATTTGCCTGACTTGACACATGAAATAAAACATGGGCGTAGGAAGCATCTTCAATGTGGGTGAGACAATTTAACAAGGGGTGGACCTCACCTCCTCTAGGGGGGTCCGGGGGCAAGCAAAATTAGGGACTAAATCTATGGCAGTCAGTAGGGGCTTGGACTGTGAGCCGTAGGGTCGCCGGTTCAAGTCCCCGACCAGTCCTACATTTGAAGTGTGGACTTCTACTTGGAGAGGTCCCAGTTCACCTCCTGCCCTGCCGTGGTGCCCTTGAGCAAGGCACCGGACATACCCCTTCCCCCCTCACTCCCATTGCTCCCCGGGCGCTGTACAATAGCTGCCCACTGCTCCTAGTACTAGACTCCTGGTACTAGGATGGGTTAAAAGCAGAGAACACATTTCACTGTGTGTGCTGTGTGCTCTGCATGTGAGACCATTAAAGAGGGTTGAAACCCTCCCAATTCTTCTTCTTCTTCTTCTTCTTCTTCTTCTTCTTCTTCTTCTTCTTCTTCTTCTTCTTCTTCTTAACACCCATATAAAACAGAACTGTAAACAGATTTACTTTTTCTTTCAACATATATTTGAACAGCAAGTGGAGGCAAAAGTGACCGCACCCAAAACAATAAACCTGCTAGCTAACTAGCCTAAACTCAGTAACAGAATGTGGGCAACACGTTCTTCTCCACAGCCGCGCGACCTCTGAGTCAGACGTCACTTCCCCCTTTTCTATCCTACGGGTACAGCCACTCCCCCTGAACCCCGTTTCCCTGCCAACCCATTGAAACTGATAGATAGAACAAAGGTAACCTATCACAACGGCCCAGCCCAGCCCAGTGGGCCACACCTCACTGGGCTGGGCTGGGCTGGAACACTTACAAATGTGAGCCGGTAGGATTTAGGATTTTTTTTTCTACATTATTTTTTTATTTTTTGTTGGTCCTCCGGCCCACACACAGCACCGGCCCACCGGGGAAACTCCCGGTATTCCCAATGGCCAGTCCGCCCCTGATCTGGGGTGACAGGGCCTTCGCTGCAGCCTCCCGCTCCCTCTGGAACTTTCCTCCCCAATCAAAAAATCTCTCAAAACTCACTTTAGCTTTCAAACTCTGAAGTGTTATGCTACCATTTGCTGCATTGCGTTGGTCACAGAACATGTAACATTTCTTTTATAGTTTTTTTTATGTTTAATAATGCCTTACTATCTATTTTAACAAAACATTTCCAACATGTTAAACTTGGAAATGATACAACTATTAAAGGCAACGTTTTAGCACAACATGCAGATCCCCTGACAGTGCGACAAACCTTGTCCAGCTTCTCTAGGGAAATGAACCTCAGCTCCTCTGCTTGCTTCTGAGATGTCTCTGTATTAGTGGTAAGCTGCTGTTTCAGGTCAGTCAGGATGGTTATGTACTTCTCATACTCCTGCAGCTCCTTTGAAACCTGTATCACCACGTCCACCTGGGAGTCATCTCTGGCCTTCTTGTGGAAGAACTCAGCCAACTTCCCCTGCAAAAGGCTGCAGCGCTGGCTGGTTGTATCTCTGTCCTCACACATGCACTCTTCAGAGCTGAGGTCTTCAGAACAGGATTGCTCTCCCCCAGCCTTATTTTCTTTTAGTGTGGTGTTCTGTCTCTCCAGGGCCTCAAGAGGCAACCTGGGAGCTCCATCTTCATCATGGCTGTTTATTTCAAAAACTACACTCTCCTTTTGAGACTTTTCCTGTTCATTGACTACATTGAGCTCTTTTCCTTTTTTCTCGTATGGCTCAGGGGTAGCTTCAGTAGGGGGCTCTCCAGCGACACCGTTTTCTTCATCATGATCAGAGGCAGCCATTGTAGCTGGGACGTCTTCTCTTTCATTTCCATTTACACTAATATAAGAAGTGTTCTCCACATTCGAGGAATCTGCTGACGCGCCGAAATCGTACTTTACCTCATTGTCTGTCTTGCCCTCCATTTTCAATAGAAATAGAATATAATAAAATCTCCCCAAAAATAATTGAATGTGTGTATAGCTCGAGGGCTTGTGCACGTCTGTAATGAATGAAACTGTTCGTTTTGTTTTAGTTGTCCTGGAGACTGGTGTCGGGAGCCAATCGGAGGCGCTCTGACCTCTGCTCATGAATATTAACAGAGCAGGATGTGAGTAGGTCGCGCGGCAATGATCGCAGTGCGCATGCGCGCTCTTCTGCCTCCAACAACAAGAAGCAGGAGCCAGGCAACATGGCCGACCTGGGGAAAAAGTACTGCGTTAACTGCCTTGCAGATGTTACAAACCTGCGGCTTCGCTGCACTGACTGTCCCGATATCGAGCTGTGCCCGGAGTGCTTCTCGGCGGGCGCAGAAATCGGTAATCATCGGAGATGGCATGGCTACCAGCAGGTCGACGGCGGTCGGTTCTCTCTCTGGGGTCCCGAGGCAGAGGGAGGATGGACCAGCAGGGAAGAGCAGTCGCTCCTCGATGCTATCGAGCAGTATGGGTTTGGAAACTGGGTACATCACTTTTTAAGTTACTTGACTTATTTGTCTACACCATACACTCCTACACTAGCTGTGTTTAAATGAGCCTACTTAGAACATTGGCTAGTAGCAGTAATATTAGGGTTATTTAATTACCTTATTTTCTTGGGCTACTGTAGTAAACGTTGGACGACTGAGCATTTAATACTCAGGAATTTACATTCCCACTTAAATGTTTTAAATATAATTTTGAACTTATTAATAAAGCGAATAAGCTAACGAGTAATACGTTACCAAAACTATGAGAGCATTGTGACTTTACAGATGTCAAATGATGTCAAAATAATCAACGTGTTCGCCAGGGGTAAAGAAAAGGAAATGTAGAAGCTCTTACTAAACTTAATCTTTATCTAACTTAACTAAACTATGACCTACATTAATCTGCTATGGTTGCTACAGTAGTTTGTAATTGTTTGCTCCTTTCATTCATTCAATTTTGACTAATTGATTTAAATTAGTCAAATTTAAATCAATTTAAATTTGACTAATGCTTAACTTTATGAATGGCGTCTTTTATTATTATTACATTTCATTTTTCATTTTTTTAGCTGACGCTTTTATCCAAAGCGACTTACAATGACCGATTACAGGGACATTCTCCCTGGAGTAACTATGGGCTAAGTGCCTTACTCAAGGGCACACTAGTGGTGGTGTTCCAGGCGGGATTTGAACTCACAACCTTCCAATTTTCAGCCCACCTCACTATCCATTAGACCACCACTATCCCTTTTATTGATTTATATTATTTCAAAAGTATATTTTTTAATTAGTTTGGAAAATAATTGTTTTAGTAACTAAAACATTGCAATTCTAGGTAGAGCAACATATTACTTATTGTATTGCTTAGTCAAAATGCAAAAAACATAAAAGGTAATGGAAATAACAATGTAATATGGCACACAATTCTTGTACACACTTAGTAACTTGAGTGGACTACTGCTCTGGAAAGTTCCGAGAGCAGAACAGAAAGGAAAAACTAAATATGCAGCAAAAAATCCTTAAAATGCACAAAAAATACACCATAAATATAATTATCAAGCATTAACTAAAAACAAAATATACCTTGCTTGAAGGTTACAATTCAAGCTTTTAAATTATGCCATAATGAAATACAATACATCCCATAACAAATGTTAAAGATACCAATAGGCTTAAATTAAAGTATACCTTTTTCATTTCATTTCAAATCTTTATTTATACAGATAAATCCCCATTGATCTCTTTTTCAAGGGAGACCTGCTCAAGTAGTTCCACATGAAACATAAAAATAGAACAACAAAAGGACATCATACAGCATCATTTACATAATTATCCACATAAACAGGTACCAATAGCTTCCGATTGACTAGCATCCAACCGAGCTTTAAAAACATTTAGTGGCACCAGATTGTTCAGTTTCCATTTAATTTGCAGACTATTCCAAGACAGAGGAGCTGCGCATCTAAAAGCTGTCTTCCCTAAGACAGTCCTAGCAGCTGGCACATCTAATAAAACCACAGCATTCGATCTCAGGCAGTAGCCACTTACAATTTTCCGTGAGATCAGGGAGCAGATGTAGGATGGAAGTTTCCCTAACATGGCTTTGTATATAAAAAGGTACCAGTGACTGAGCCTCCGTACAGTTAGTGAAAGCAAACCAGCCCTTGCATACAGGGTACAGTGATGGGTTAATGCTTTACAGTTTGTCACACATCTCAGTGCGCTGTGATACGCAGCATCTAACTTGACCAGGCAATGGGCAGGTGCATTCATATACATCAGATCACCATAGTCCAGCACAGGTCAAAAGGTCACAGAGCCTTTTCCTGGCCTCAAGCGAGAAACAGGACTTGTTCCTGTAGAAGAAACCTAGCCTAACCCTCAGCTTTTTAAGCAGGTTATTGACATGAAGTTTAAAAGTGAGACAGTCATCAAGCCAGATACCAAGGTATTTGTAACAGGTAACCACTTCAAGTTTTATTCCTTGCATAGTAACAATATCTAAAACAGGTTCTGGTGTCTTTTTAGCTTTAGAGAAGAGCATTACCTTGGTTTTATCAACATTTAAAAGAAGCTTTAGTTCAGAGAGCTGAGTCTGAATAATGTTAAAAACAGCTTGTAAATGGAGGGACCTACACAGTACATCACGGTATCGTCCGCATAAAAATGTAAAGTAGCTTCATCCACATTTTCACCTAAACTGTTGATATATATAGAGAATAATAGTGGACCTAAAACAGAACCTTGGGGAACACCATTTGCAATGTTTAACCACTCAGAAGACAGCCCATCAAAGTGAACACATTGGGACCTTTCAGAGAGGTAGTTTACAAACCACCCCACTGCATGGCTGGATATGCCTATACTGGCTAGCTTCTGCTTTAAAATGTGATGATCGACGGTGTCAAACGCTTTTGAAAGGTCAATAAATAGAGCTGCACAACTCTGCTTAAAGTTTCAAAGCTTTACTATTTAAGTTATAGTGCCTCTGTAACTGCAAACTTTATCTGTTACATATGTTGAATTGTATTATTGCATGTTGACCAATTTTTGCATTAGCATGTTCTTCTGAAGAGTTGCTGTTCAATGAGTTAAATACTAATTTGGTTACATTACTTATAGTGGTGCACGATAATTATCGGTCCGATATTAGGAATTATGACGTCATCCCGATAAACCCGATAACAGTATTAATAGCCCCGATAATATACAATATATTTTTTGGGTAAAAAAATAAAAAATAAATACTGCAGTGTGGGTGGATTCGGATGAGGGACGCTTGTGTTTCACTCGGCTCCTCCCGTTTTGCCAGTACTGTGTTATTAGTGGTTTAGGAAGAGGGGAGTTTTTCACAAATCCAGCGCTCCCTAACTCATGCCTGGCTGTGACGTAAATGGTGTGCGGCCGTGAAGCCAGGACAGTAAACAAACATGTCGCCGATAGTATGGGACTATTTCAAAGTTTCAGAGTTAGATAGTTCGCTTGCTATTTGTATTAACAAATGCAATGCAGAAGTTCCACGAGGAGGGAAAAAGGCAACGAGCTATAATACTTCCAACCTGATTTGTCACCTGAAACATCGCTACGATGGTGTGTTAAAAGCGTACGAAGACGCCTGCGCTGCTAAACTAGCGGCGAATCCAAAGCCAGCTGCAAAGGCAAAGGCTTTTACCTATCGACGAGGCTTTTAAAAAAGGCAAGAAGTTTGCCAGAGACGACCCCAGGGCTAAAACTATCTCTAACTTCATCATAGAAATGATGGCGCTTGACGAGTCAAAACTGTTCTTGGATTTGTTTTGTTCATAGTAGTAATGCTCATGTTATTTGCTCACTACTAGTCTTTTTTTTACCACCAGGTGTGTAAAAACTACAGGTACATTTAATATATATATATATTATATTATTATCGGTTATCGGTATCGGTCTTGAGAAGCAGGAAGTTATCGGTATCGGTTTCAAAAAACCAATATCGTGCATCCCTAATTACTTATATATACTGTAAATAATACTAGTAAGTAAACTGAATACAGTTTTTTCCCTATAATGTTGCCAATAAATAACACAATTGTTTCCTGAAAACCTACTTGCTCATTTTCATTAAATTACCAACCCCTTAAAATGTTAAAGACATTTGTGGGAATTGTTGGTCAACTTGCAGTCTAACTAATAATTAAAAATATATATTAATGACGTTTGTGTTGTCTTCCAGGAGGACATGGCAGCTCACGTCGGAGCATCACGAACTCCTCAGGAAGTCATGGAACACTATGTCACCATGTACATCCACGGAAACCTAGGTAAGGCCTGCATCCCTGAGAACATTCCCAACCGGGTGACGGACCACACCTGTCCCAGCGGGGGGCCGCTGTCGCCTAGCCTTACCACTCCTCTCCCGCCGCTGGATATCAACCTTGCAGACCAGCAGCAGCTGGGCTACATGCCACTACGTGACGACTATGAGATTGAATATGACCAGGACGCAGAGAAGCTCATTAGCGGGCTGTCTGTGAACTACGACGACGAGGATGTGGAAATTGAAATGAAACGTGCACATGTGGATATGTATGTGCGCAAGCTTAGAGAACGCCAACGACGTAAGAACATCGCAAGAGACTACAACCTGGTGCCTGCGTTCCTGGGCAGAGACAAGAAGGACAAGGAGAAACCAGGAGTGCTGGGAGTCATAGGTACTGCTGTTGGGGTAGGGGGGGTAGCAGTTGGCAGTGGCACAATTGGATCAGGTTCCACAACGGCAGTAGGATCAGGCCCTGTTTCCAGTACGCCCAAAAGAAAGATCCCAAAGGAAGAGAAGGAGCAGCGGGTCAGACTGCGGGGGCTCTGTCAGTTCATGGCTAATCGGGAATTTGAAGACTTCTTTGAGAATATGCATAAAGAACGTGTGCTAAGAGCAAAGGTGCGTGAGCTGCAGCGCTACCGGCGCAATGGCATCGCCCGCCTGGAAGAGTCTGCTGAATATGAAGCAGCGCGCCACAAACGGGAGAAACGCAAGGAAAACAAAAGCATGGTCATCTCCAAACGGGGAAGCGGAGGAGGGGGCGGGCTTGGCTCTGGGATTGGACTTGGGGGAGGAGCTGGAGGGGGAGGCGGCATAGCTGGAGGGTTGGGGGTTGGTTGTGGGATTAAGGAAGAAGGCAAAGATGGTGAATTTGCCGCCATCGAGAATCTGACAGGCTTCGAGCTGCTGTCAGACAGGGAGAAGGTGCTTTGTAACTCTCTGAACCTCAATCCAGCACGTTACCTGACTGTCAAAACCATCATCATCAAAGATCACCTGCAGAAAAGGCAAGGTATCCCGGCCAAGAGCCGGCTGCCCAGCTACTTGGACAAGGTCCTCAAGAAGCGTATTCTCACCTTTTTAACAGAAAGTGGCTGGATATCCAGAGATGCCTCTTAGCGATCCATCTTTGGTCAGGAAATAATACGTTTATGATTCGCTAAAAGCTCTGTAGGCAACTACTGGCATTTTTCAGAGGTGACATTGTGGATATGTACATTACAAAGAAAGAAGATGCCCCACTGGAGAAAAACAAATATATATTTTCATACGAGGGCTAAAAAGAAAATAAGCCTCTATTTTTAGATTTGGTAAGGGGCTGAAAAACAACACTTTGGGTTTAAAGTATTTTGTGTCCACATTTTTACTACATGAATGAAAACTACAAAGCTAACAAGTATAACATAGCTCCAGAGATGTTGAAATGCTGTTGCAAGAGGATGATTGTTAGATTTAAAATCCAAAAATCGACATGGAAAAGTTTGAGTCATAATTGTTGGGTGAATAATCACTATTTTTGGTGGTAGATGTTTTTCAGGATTTGCCTCAAAATAAATTAAGTTAACTTTGTTAGTAGGTAAGGCAGGACTTCCTAACTAGAGCTGCCGTTTACATCTTATAAAATGTTATGGCCTTCATTTTCTAGATTTTTTTCATGCAACTTCAGCAAACAATCAATCTTCTGAATGTTCTTCTTCTCACTGACTAATTGGGAAAGGAAAAGAAGCAGCAGGGTTGAACAGTCATCATGTTTCTTTTTGGCTGAGCACTTTCTTCTGCCTGAAGGCAATCACAATGTAGGTTGACATCGAGCTAGATGGATAGATCTGATGATATATCAGTAGTGGCCCATTCGTCAGCCAATGAGCAACAAGAAATAAATGCCAAAGATCATTTAGAGTACATTGCACAATCTGTCAACCAGAGAGAACAGGCGTCAAAATGCTGTCAGGCTTTAATTTTTATTAATTGATGTCAGTGTTTCACCTGAAATTACTATGGAGGAAGACCTTTTTTCTTTTCTTTTTTTTGGCCAATCAAAAACTTTACTTTTACAGAAATGAGTGCAGCTTAGCACAGCTTTAAATCTTCTACTGTCAACATAATATAATACAGGCAGCTTAACGTGAAAGGGCATTTTACAATGATACTAAAATGCCTAATTAGAATTTAGTTAAGCAAGTGTTAAGGCAAGGCAATTTAATAGTACACATCTTTATATTTTTCAACTAGCAGGAACTGCAGTATGCCTCAAGTTAATTTCAAAAGGTCCTTACATCAAAATCACCTAAGCCCTGTGGACGACAGCATCACATTCCCAGGTGGTAACTGTCTTTTTTAGGGGAAATGCTATTCATGAGTAGCATTAGTTCTTAGCTGTATACATTGCAGCAAAAGTAGCTTTGCTTTTTTTGTGGTGTTTAAAAAGTAAATGCTCCCTCTTCACTGTAGAACTTGAGTCGAGGGTGTTAATATTCTGTTATGGTCAACAGTCATGCTTTGTCATATTTCATCAATGTTGTGCTCCACACCATGTACCATTTTAATCAACGTAAGGTTGTATTTCAGAGATAAATCTGGTGATATTTTATATTTCTCTTATTATATATCCTGTTTGCCAATATGTTCAATATGAAGCACATCTATGACCCACGCTGTTGAACTGGGTGGTGTGTTTCTTCATTACCGTGAACACACACACTGTCATTTTGACTCAATCCCACATACATTAACACTCGCTAGACTACTAAATGGCTGATAATACGCCAGACAAGTGCATTTCTTCCCATTTGAGTCATTTCCTAAAAACTATGCCACCAAACCTTTTTTTAAGGAGTAAACATTTATATATAATAATGAACAATTAATCTGCAAGAGACAATAGGACAATGGAAAGTATTAAGAGGCAGACTAAGTTTTGTGTTTTCATTGAATTTGATTAAATAACTAGAATACTTTATATTGTAAGCCTTACTTTGTATTGTTAAGTAACACATCATCAGGTGATTATGCATGTGTTTTGTTGCATAACTCTGGGTCTTAGTAGTTGACAATTTTGAGAAATGCTTATAATACGAAAATCCATATTTCCAACATAATTTGTATATAACATATAATGAATCTAATTTACATTCATATTTTTCTGTTCCCATTGCGTTGCATATTAACCCATGGCTAACATTTCGGACTGGAGTTTGATGTATTAGTCAACTGTTTAGGTTTATTGAAGATGCTGATTGTACAACAGGCAAGACTTGTTGTGTTGAAGCTGAGGGGAATGTGTGACTATAATGGCATTGTTAAAAAACAATTAAAAAAGTTCAGGTCAGATGTCAGCTCCAAGTGCCAAAATGTCATCTGAACCACAGATAAAAAAAAGGCTACATTTCAGCCTATACACCAAACTCCAATCCTGTAGAATTGATGCTTCTCATTTGTATGAATATTAGTTATCTTCAGATTTTGACAGTAAATCTTTCTGCATGTGCACCCAAATGTTCAAAAAGGTCCTAAAATAGTGGCAATTATATTTTTCCAATGGGTTAATAGTTTTTGTAAGGGGGATTTTGCATTATTTTTACATTTGTAATATAAATTGGGAAACAAATATAATTACCCACATGTGAAATGTACAGTATTTTGTGTCATGGTAATGTTCATAGATTTGTAATAAAGTAAAAATAATTTTTGATTAGAGATGAAGCATTTTCTGGAGATTTAGGCATAATGGTGACATGCAGCTGCGCTGCCTATAATATAATTTCCGGGTTGCAGTCGAATTGTCCAAAAATCAGCTCCTCTCGTCTTTTCCTATCCACTATTCCTTGACCTCTGTGTGAAATGTCACGGTGTTAAGGAATAGTTGATAGGAGAATTCAAAAGGACTTAGGAAAAGAGACTGCTGTACTTTGAGAATCCGACTGCATTTACACTATCCGACGTATTTATGATGCGCCAGCGGACATCATAAATGTGCGTCTGCTGTGGGGAAACTACAGTTTTCTATACAGCGGACTAAATGGATGTATAATAAGAACGGCGGACTACTGTAAACGCATCACTTTGCACCGTGCTCTTATGGTGCTGTTGTATGGACGTTGACAACAGAGAAACATATATTCTTCATGACCAAGGTTGGAATTGAAATAAATAAAGTAAAGTGACATTTATGCTTGTCACCCTCCGGTCCACACGTATTAATCCACAATAATCCCAATAAGTATGATATGAAAAGATCTTAAAATAAATACAAATGTATTTATTATAAACATGTTAGTCCTTAATATCTATCACTGTGCATATCACCATTAAAACATATTTTAAGAAACCCCACACAGCTCAGTAAACACTATGAAATGTTGACTTTATTTGATAATTTCAGTAAAAAAGTAACGTTCATATTTCTCCTTATGATTATTATAGTGTTGAACGTTCAAAACAAAGCACTTTGGCAAGTTACCACATACGTTGTAAAATGGTTAATAAGCACCGTAAATGTCATGATATCATTTATCGGTTGTTTCCGTGAACGGCCGAATGCTGTGTCACGGTAAATGTTGCGGCCGCAAGGCATTGTGGGGCAGCATCTTCTCCTTTCATTTCGTAGTGTTTTCCTAAGCTAAAGGAGGTTAATAAAGGAAGTTTTTCAAAGCTCCTTTCCTATCATCTAGATCAGTGGTTTTCAAACTGTGGGGCGCGACCCCTGGTGGGTCGCGGAGGTACTGCAGGGGGGTCGCGGGAAGATTTTTTTAATTTTATTATTTTCTCCTTTTAGCTTTGTGAAGCACCTTGAGATGACGTTGTTTTTAAAGTGCACCTATGTATTGTTATTAATATTATTCAATTGTAAACAAACACTGCTCGAAAATATCTCATTGGCCAGAGAGCTGTGGGCATACTGCTGCCTTTTGCAACATTACTTGTGTGAGATAGGCTTTTTCTGCTGTTGCTGCCATCAAAACGAAATACAGATCAAAGCGGAACATTGAGAATGAACTGAGAGAGGCAGTCTCAAAACAACAGCCCCGGTTTGAGAAGATCTGCAAGGGAAAGCAAGCACACACAAGTAATTGATAAGCTAGTGTGTAATATGAATGGTAAAGTGATGTGATCGTTTGCAACCTGCAGTAGAAATAGTAGTTAATTAATATATTTTCCTTAAAGAAATTTGAATTTAAAAATCTACTACTCAGGGAAGAAGGCCAACCAGTTTTAATTAGGCCAAATTAATTCACAGTATCTATTACAACAGGGTGTCCGCGGGGTCTTAAAAAGTATTAAAAGTTGATAACCATGCTCCGGGGTCTTCTTCGCTGCTTTTGGTGTATTTTGTCGCGGCAGCAGCGCCAGGCCTGGCATATGTACTACAGCATTTCCAGTGGTCTAGTGTGAACGGACACATTAATGAATCGAATGCGTGTGAACGGAATACTTTTTTGCGTATGCGTTTTACTGTATTTTACTCGTGGGGCCGGGGTCTAAGGCAAACTATATCCGGTCACAGAGATCTGCTATTTTAAAGTAAGGTCCTATATCGACCCTAAATATAGTCTATATTAAGAACGAGAAAAGTCTTAACATATATATCGTTTTTTGTAAACATATGACAAATGTGTGAGGGTGATGACGTCAGAGCATCGTCCTATGTGCCGGGCTTAGCCCCGGACAGCCCCAGCCCAATTTAACCCCTGGGTATTTGTGAGGGAGCTCCTACAGTATATGGCATTACCCCGCTGAAGCTCACCAAAGTTTAATATATTTCATAGTTCAAAGTTTTGTCAATTGTTTTGTTTATTGGTCAAATACTGGTTTCTAATGGTTTCTGAGGAGTTTTACTGGAATGAAAGAGCACAGAGTACAGAAGCAACAAAGCAGCATACTGCATTAAACCTGACCTTCACAGAGAGGTTGAAGTTCATGTGGAGAGGAGGCTTCAGTAGTCTGTCTGCACTCTGTTTAGTTGTGCTATCTTACAATCAATATAGTAAATGTGAGGTAAAGTGTGTAACCGGTTAGAACTCGAAGTTGCGATGAGGTCTTAAAATGTATGGAAAGGGTCTTAAAAAGGTATTACATTTGACTTCAGGATTCCTGCATATACCCTGTACAAGCACTTTTGTTCATGTGTAATCCATAATAAAATATAAAATTATAGTTGGATCTTTGTATCTTCTTATTATTAGCAGAGAAAATTTAATGTTTTTACAACAATATACAATTAATCCTACCAATATAGATGGGAACCGGGTTGGGGGGTCCCGAAAATATTTCCAATACCCAAGGGGGTCCCGACTGAAAAAGTTTGGGAACCACTGATCTAGATAATTCCAACAGCTCTTATCATGGCTGCCACTGAAATACTTCCGTGTCATTTCACTCCGTTAAGGTTCCTAACAGGCCCGGACTGGCCATCGGGAGGACCGGGAGGTTTCCCGATGGCCTGGCCTGCTAAGTGGCCTGCTGGCCTGAGGACTTTTTAAAAAAAATTTATGTCGTGAACGCAACGCTGCGCAAATGTGGGTCTGACTCTGCATCACAGAGGGTGACTGGCTGTCTACATGATGTGGCCTGCCGACATGGCCACTTTCATACAGATCATACTAATGCCCGTCTCTGTGTGTCATTCAAGCTCAGGAGGGTGTGTGTTATGTGTGGCGCGAGCAGTGAGATAAAGCACGCGCACCGGTTACGTGTATTGTTGTTGTTGTTGTTAGCATCTGGTGCTAGCTAGCTGCGCTAACGGATATAAGGAGCTTTTTCAACAACAAGGTGAGGAGAGTCCTCTGCTGTCAGACTGAGAGGCTGATAACCTCAGACCCCCCTATAGGATTTGAGGTCCACCCCCACTTAAAATATGTTCACATAGGTTCCTAAATAGATTTGCAAATTGTTTTAAATAGTAACCCATGTCCATATGTTTATTTTTGGGTAGTAGATTTAAACTAGAGGGCTATCACTACGGGCAGCAATGCTGTAAATATTGACAAATAAATCCAGCAAAATGGCACAAAAAACTGGTAGTGGCCTGACTGGGTGTATAATTCCCGGCCTGACTTATTGTCCCAGTCCGGCCCTGGTTCCTAAGCTAAACTGACAATTCGACTGTGACGGCCCCAGAGCCTGGGGCCTGTGAGTGTGTGTGAATGTTGCAGGTCCTGCGATGGGGTGGAGCTGAAGAAGCCAATCAGCGTTATCGGGGACACCTGGCCGGAGGTGCTACTTAAGCCCAGCTGCCCGCAGTCACAGGGCCGTCTTGACTCTCTCCAAGCCTGCTGCGGAGGAACTGACCGTGATCCTTTCCCCTCGTCCCCTCTCTGCGGTTTTTTGGTGTTTCCGAATAAAGTGCGGAGATTGTTGGAAACTTTGAGCATCTCTCCTGGTTTTTCTGTTGTGGCCAACGAGCCGGTCATAACAACTGGGGGCTTGTCTATCGTGAGTATGAACTGGGAGTTGGTTGGATTGTGTTGGCGTTAGCTGTGCCTGAATTAGCCTGTGTTCGTGGCTAGTTGGTAGCCTGAGTTTTTTTGAGGGGATTCCCTCTGAGGACAGTGATGTATGTGGCCTTATATGGTGTTGTGGATGCACTCTACGGGTGCCTAGGCGTTATTTTGGAACGCGTATGGTCCCAGGTTTGTGGGATTTTATGAGATGTATTTTTGTCCGATAGCGGTGATCTGGTCTCTTAAATAGTCGCTGAAAAATAGCAGGTAGTGGTCCCGCCTGTGTAGACAATACCTGTAGGAGTGTTTCCCCTGGTAGGTTCAAGAGGCGTTTCCCCTTTGGGTTTCGTCTGGGGGGGCTTTGCTAGTGTTGAGGTACGGCGGTTAGAGCTTCACTTTCCCTTTTCCCTAAACTTGCTCGGGAGCACTTCCGTGGTTCAGGGGGGTTGCCGATTACCTGGTCGCCTCTCTCGGTCCAGCGGGCTTTAAGTGCATAAGTACCCACCGCTACGCCTCATGAAGACTAGGGGGGGAGTTAGGTAGTAAGTTTGTGATTAGGAAGTCAGCTAGCGGGGCTGCTCATTCCTACTGTGTGCACAGGTGGGTTAAGAAATTGCATTTCCTCGGTGTAAATAGCTATTATTGGGTAATATGGAGGATATTGTGGGGGCGTTTGTGGCTGCACCTTCTGAAGGTTTCTTGGATCAGTGCACCAAGGATCAATTGGTGAACATAGCTCAGTATTATGGGTTTGAAGTTGGCGATAAAAGAGTGAAAGAGTCGGTGAAAGCGAATTTGAGGGCTTGTTTGTTGAAAAGCAAAGTGTTTGATACTCCTGTCCCCGGGCGTACAAAATAAATGGCGGGTCAAAGTGCGGTTTTGAGTTTCGAGCAACAGAAGGAGTTACTCAGATTACGCTTAGAGTTGGAGACGGAAAAGGAGTTGGCCGTGGAGAAGATGCGACAGGGCATTGAGCTGGAAAGAGCGGGGTCCTTGGAGAAATTAAGGCAGGAAACTGAGCAGGCTAAGTTGGAGTTTCAGAGGGAGAAACTGGAATTAATTAGAGAGGGCAAAGTAGCGGTCCTGTTTCCTGATTATTCAGCTAGTCAAAGCGGGGCCCCAGGGAGGTCAGTGGATGACTTAAATGATTTGAAGTTGGTTCCCAGGTTTAATGAGAAGGATCCGGGGAAAAAAATGTCAATGTTTGAACGTCTCGCAGGTGTAAGGGGGTGGTCTGAGGCCACTCGCGTGTTATTG